CTTTCGTGTTGTTTGATGACGGTCCATCTCAATCCACTTCCATTCATTAAAGTACAATTACTCCAGCATTGGTATGGTCTTTATTTTGAATCTTCACAGTATTGCTGCTTCTGAATGAGACTAGTGCTGGAGGACTGAATATTTGCTTTTCTTTCAGTTCCCTTTTCACCTTATCATTACACATTGCTTAATCTGCACAAGTCTGACGTATTTTCTCTCGTATCCATGGATTTGGGAAGTGAAGGATGGAATGTATCCGATGCATCTATCCGAGCTGGTTTAGAGAAGACGCAACTGCCGGGGAGAAGCCAATTCCTGACACAAGATGAAGCCTCGGTCCTTGGGCTCGACGGAGCATCCGCCATTCTAATCGACGGGGGTTTTGCCTGATAACCACCTGTCCTTACTTCCTTATTTCCCTTCACCATTGCCTTAGCCAAAGATACCATCTGATGTTCCAATCATCTTCCAGCCCATACCGAGGCGTCCGCAAAGGCACTGTCAGACGTGATAAAAACCGTCGAACCCGAAGGGCCTGTGGCCCTCATCGTCGGAATGGCCAGCGACAAAGAGCACCTCGCATTCGCTGCGCAACTTCTCTCAGGCAAGATACTTCATTAACTCTGCCCCTCTGTGCTTCGGCCGTCTCATAGCTGGATAGTTCAGACCGAAGAACGTCACGGTAGTTTTTTCTCAGCCTCCCTGATCACTCTCAGGCAGAAGGCCCGACGTGGTGCTGCTGACGGAGACGGGGATCGCGGGAGGGACCGCTCGCTCCATGCCGGCCTCGTCGCTGAGAGACATCTGGACGGGCGCCGCGCTCGGCCAGGGCATCGAGTGTGCGGGCATCGGGGCCAACCCCGGCGACGAAGCCCCAACCGTAAACATCGACCACCTGGCTCCCGCCGCCGGCACAGGCAAGCCCGCGCCGATGCTGATCGGGTGCGGAGCCGCGCCGTTCTCGCGCGACCTGATCAAGGCCGCCTCCCGGCTGCTGCGCCGGGCAGACGGAGGCGGCGGCGCTGCCCGGGGTGGCCTCATCTGCGTCACCGGCTCCATGCATATGGTCGCGGCGGTGCTGCAGCAGCTTGAGCAGTAGCTCCCCAATCCCCATCAGTTACAGTCCACCAGTACAGCGCATTACATGGTTTGGAATCGATGGGATTAAGCAGTGATGTTAACTTTCATAAAGCTACCAAGAAAGCGTCGATGCGCCGTGCATGTCCTTTTCTTGGTTGTCTACTAGTGAGAGCGACAAGTCCTTGGCCTTGTTCACACTCACACCCTAGTAGTTGACCTCGGTCGACTTTACAAAGTTGTTCTTTTTAAACAATTATTAATTAATTTTTATACTGTTCTAATAGTTTATTCATCTACTAGAGAAATGTTTCGGTTCATGGAGGAAAATCTGATTTCTTAATTGTACAATTTTGTTCAAACGGATGCAGGAAAAATTCACTGTGATGTAATAATATTTGGTCATCTGACGGGGAAAGAATGTACTCTACTAATATTTTATTCATATAGAGTTTAGAATGTCTGGGATCTTGCATGAAACTCATCGTGTTCTCAACATCATCAACTGAAATCATTTTCTTTTCTTTCTTTTTCATCCGCCTAAGCATAGCTTCTGTCTTGATTCTTTGTCTGTTTGTGTTATTTGGTGTTGGTTGTGTGCATTCTAGTCATGCATATGCGAGATGTGTTCTTATTGGTGTTTGTATCCTACGTGGTCATGTAGGACCCAATCTACTACTCCCTCCGTCCGAAAATACTTGTCTTACAAAATGGTTGTATCTAGACTCATTTTAATAATAGATACATTCGTTTTATCCATTTTTAGGACAATTATTTCCAGACGGCGGGAGTACTATTAAGCTGGATTTTGCATAGTAGACTAGCAAGAATTAATCGAATCCAGTTCGAGCCGACAATAGATGTTCACTCTTCAGGGCTTCCAGGCACAATGCAAACTTTTACGAACAAGTCACGTACTTGCCTACCTATGTCGAACATGGTGTTCAAAAGTAATAACATTACTAATACACGAATACAAAAGATAATATAATTGTCCCCATGATTACCTTTGTAGGGCATATTCTAGATCAGAGGGAGTGTACTATAGGTGTGGAACATGAGTGGATACGGTCGGATAAAGATTAGATACCGAAGCGGGAAGATAACATACGGCTACAATGCTAGTACATATTTATATTTAAACAACACTCCCTCCGATTCCATACTCTAGTGCATATAGATTTTTTTAAAAGTCGAAAATTCCTTACTATATTCTACACCAATGGAGTTGAAGCTTTTGATTAAAAAAAAACTATCCTAATCACTTTGTGTAACAACCAAAGGCCCGCTTCGAGCTATGGACTCGCGGCAGATCAAAATATCTTGCTTACCTAGGATGTTTATTCTTTTTCATGTAAAAAAACACCCCAAAAGCTCAAACAAAAGGGGCCAAGGTAATATATCATCTCATAAACTAGGCAAAACTACTCAAAATAGTAATAATAAATAAATTATGTGAATTAAGTAGAGGCTCGACACTGGCGGCCAGCGGATCAGAGAGCATCTCTCCCGCCTCTAGGGTATATTTATAGCATTCCAGCTACATCAACGACATGAAATGTGAGGCAAGGACGATTGTAGTTGGGACTTGGATGACAAGTGGAGCGGGGATGCACGATGGCAAGGTAGGTTGCACCTACAACGGCATGGAGACTCTAGGTCGTTGATCTCGATAGGGGGCTCTAGCCTGACGAGAGAGAGAGAGAGAGAGAGAGAGAGAGAGATCTGTAGAGAAAAATATCTATGCATAAGTTGTAAAATTGTTTTTTATTTAGCATTACATATGAAGATTTGTTTTTCATGAACTTGATCAATGTCCACACCCTTTATTTTGCAATGGGGGAATAACTCTGGGTGAAACCGGAGCGGATTTGGTCTGATAGTGCTCAAACGATATTTTATATACTTTTTCAAACATGGAGGTAAGACGGATAACAGGCAAACACATGTTCGAATACTGGATTATGTCAGATTGGGCATATATATAGCATGGTAGCCAATTATGCAGAAATAATAAGCAATTATTAATACTTGCACGCATGAAGCACACATAAAAAATATTAGAAAGGTAGTAAAACAATCTAAATAAGCCACTAACAAGCATCTATCCCATCTCATAGGTGAAGATGACATGCACGTATTGGTAGTTAATATTTGCAGTTATACCAATAAATCATATAACCATATTTTATAAGGTCGGATTATCCAACAAAAAAATCATTACCTCATATTAGCAATACCATGTCCTAACAACAGGAATCCGACTTGGACTCGGATTCAGTTTTAGATTGTACTCGAACGTCAGAAAACTTTAATTGTACTCTGCATCACCAGGTTTACAAATGGTTTTGGTCCCCAGGAGTCGTTTCCTTGGGAACATTCTCCGGCGCATCCAATTCTCATGTGTGAATCTGAAAGCAATATGCATGGTAATCACTGTTCGCTTTCATGCATCCCACTGAGTGAATCAAATTCCTTTTCATATAGCATGACAATTCTTTGATGTACCGTTGCAAGTCTACATGTAGCAAGACAATTCATGGACATGCATAAAAATTCCTTTTTTTTTGTTCTTTATTCAGGCAATTTTCTACGATGCATCATGGTAAAAATGATGAAACACATGACAGTTTATTTCGCTGCAACATGACACATTTTTGAGATTTTCTTTCTGCTAGCATGAGAATATTTTTATTTTCAACATGAGAAATCTTTCTATAGCAGCATCAGAAATATATCTGTTATATTCATGACAATTTCTGAACAAATAAGATAGTAGTCATCTAAACGCTCTTATATTTCTTTATAGAGGGAGTAATTCCCGAGCGCTTGTTGAAAGTGGTTTTTCGACATGGCAAATTTTTGTACAATAACATGGCAAATACATCTGCTATAGCACGGCAATCGCTAAATGAACAACATAGCAATTCCCGAGCCTTGGACGGAAGCGGTTTTTGAGGCAGCACTTTTTACGTCGCGTCACTCAAATAAGGCTTTTATAAGAAATGTTTGTCAGGGCCGTACGAAATTATACTACACCCGTTAACAAATATAAGATGCTTTGGACGTTTTAATATGAACTACGTACAGACTAAAGTAAGTGAACAAGCATATTTAAACATATCATGCGGGGTGAATTTACAACGTCCAAACGAAACCATGTCTAGAGAAGGTTTTCCTCGCTCAATGCACAAGGGTGAAGAATTACTTGATATAGATTTGGTCTAGAAAAAGGTTAGAACATCGTTTATTTATGAGCATTTTTGCTCCTGTCGCTCTTGGAGGCAGCTCGAAATATCTGGCTCCTTTGGGAAAGGCTCCTTTGGGAAAGCCTACGTAGTCCACCGCCTGCTAGATTCGGCGAATCCAGCGGAGAGCCTCGCTCGACACTCGACAGCGGCGGCCAGCAGATCTCAGAGTCGGACAGCGAGGAGAGGGCGAGAGCGTCTCCCCCGCACGTGAGCAGCCGCAGTTTTCCGGGGGGCGACAAACCGTGGACTCCCGTGCTGCCGGTTTTGCTTTCCGCCTCCCCGAAATGGCGGGCGGCGGCACACCCTCTCTCTCTCTAGATCTCTCTCTATCCATCCGCACGCATACGCTTTCTCTCTCTAGACCGGAGTAGAAGAAAAGCAAGAACCGGTTGCGGTGCCGAGGGCGACCACCGAACCCGTCGGACGGATCGAACCCACCGCCCCGGTTTCGTCCCTCCTCGCCCGTCCCGTCGTGTCGTGTCGCCTCCACCGTCAACCCACCGTCGAGCGGCACCTGGTTTTGCTCCGTCCGCCCCCGCTGACCCCCCCGCATATATCCCGAGCTCTCCTGTTGCCCCCTCGTCCATCCCCACCGGCTCGCTTGCTTTGTCGCTCTCCTTCCGCAATCCAGCGAGTTTCTTTCGGTTTCTTGGAGTTGCCTGCCGGCCGGCCATGGGCGCGGGGGTGGTGGAGCTCGGGCCCGGGGTGGTCGAGGTGGGGGCGGCGGAGGCCGTGCAGACCGTGCCGCCGACCAAGAGGAGGCGGGTGCTGGCCGTCAAGACCCTCAAGGCCGCGGCGGCGGCGGCAGGAAGGGGGCCGCGGCTCGCCAGGAGGCCGCCCGCCATCCAGCGGCTCTTCCAGGCCTGCCGCGCCGTCTTCCGGGGCCCCGGCACCGTGCCCAAGCCCGCCGAGGTCGCCCTGCTCCGCGCCATGCTCGGTACGCTACGCTAACCAACCACCGCTCCTCTCAAACCTACTTGTATGTATACGTACTAGCTACTACTAGTAGTAGTACATGCGCAATCAGCCAATCAGGACCTTGAAAATTAATTTGGTGCATGGAGCGACCCGTTAAAAGTTCAAGCCTTTGCTTGTGTACATCCAAATTAGTTTTACATGTCTTGGATACCATGCAATAAGTTCAGAATTTGCTGCAGTTTTCACTTGATAATTCTAGTGTCCGTCATTCTTCTCTGCGTACTCAACATGCTTAATTTTGATCTTTTTTCTAAAAAGAATATGTTTAATCTGAGCATGCAAATGGAACATACTCTCCGTAGCTGAAATGCAGTGGGTTCGGAAATGGGAGTGTCCTGGTTGCACAAAATGCTGATGATGCTGAATTTCGGCTTCCGGCCGTGATGTTTGCAGACAAAATGAGACCAGAGGACTTCGGCCTAAGCCCAGACATGCCCTTCTTCAGGAACAGAGATGCGCCGGCAACCGAAGGGACCCCGGCCATCACACACACCACCATATACAAATCCGAGAAATTTTCCGTAAGTGCAAAGTGTGTGCATGGTGTATACTGTTTACCCAAGGGAAGTAGGAACTAGTTGCTGACATTTCCTTTTCTTTGTTGCTTGGCAGATGGTTCTCTTCTTCTTGCCGACGAATGCGGTCATCCCTCTGCACAACCACCCCGGGATGACGGTGTTCAACAAGCTGCTCATCGGATCGATGCACGCAAAGTCATATGACTGGGCTGATCCCGACGATCCGGCTAATGAGAGTGGCGCTTCGTCACCTGATGGTAAATGTGAGCTTCCCATCCATTTCTGCTACAATTGTCACCAGATCCCCTGCTTCTGCCCCCCAGTATGCCTGGCTACGCAAATGTGCTATAACGTTTAGACTTGCTTGCTTGCAGTGAGGCTGGCGCAACTAATCGTGGACGATGTTTTCACGGCGCCGTGCGACACGTCGGTCCTGTTCCCGACGGCGGGAGGCAACATGCACCGGTTCAGGGCCGTCGCGCCATCCGCGTTCCTCGACATCCTCGGCCCCCCTTACTCCATCGAAGAGGACCGAGACTGCACGTACTACACGGACATTCCATACTCCCAGCATCCAAGTAAGTTAGAAATACTGATCTCAGAAATCTAATCTAGATACATCATGGAGATGGACTTGCTACTAGTGCTGAATTTCGACACTGCGTGCAGCTTGCAACAACTGTAAACTAGCACAGAAAATGCTTGAGCTCATATCCTCTGCTATCTGGGGGGTTTGGTCTGAGTGATCACAGTAAACACTTTATGCATCCTTTTTACCGACAGCACGCGAGAGAATTAACTAATAAGTATGGTTAGGCATCAATAGCAAGTTGCAACATAGATATTATATTTTGCATCATCAAAACAGTAGTTTGCCTTGTAAGCAGCCCACTGAATGGAGAGAGAGGTCTTTTAGTTAAGTAACAACCTGGAGCTTTCAGGTAGCTTTGTTTATCATGCACTTGCAAGCAAGCACACGGTTTTGCGCCCCCCGTACGTGGGTTTGAGAAGCACGGGATGTCGAAACCACTTGTGCATAAACCATGTTCTAAAGGGCACTAGGCGAGAGGCATCCATATTTTAGAACAGTATTAAAGTAATGTAGCTTCACCCCAAAGATATTTAGGCTCCATTAGGTCTTGAACATTGGTCGGTAATCATCGTGATCATCGATGCTTCTGCTAATTAAATTTAATTACTGCTAGCTCATTGGACGCTAGAAGGTTAACTAAATTTGTATGCTCTTCTGCTGACAGTGACCAGCAATGAGCTCATCGGCGACGAGCAAGAAGGCCGGCGTCTCGCGTGGCTGAAAGAGGTCGAGATGCCGAGGGATCTGAAGATGTGCAGCGTCCGGTACGGCGGCCCGCCGATCTCCGGCAGGTGATCGACCCCCCACCGGCGCGGGTCCTTTGATCCTTTCCTTCGAGCCCTTTGCGACCGATGATGAGCTGTCAAGTGTCAACCCAACTCAAACCAGATGGGTGTCAGAATCGAAGTTCACCTTGTGAATACAGCAGCAAGCTAGTTAGTTGAGCCATGCATAAGAATAGGTCCCAGTTTGTGCATGACGTCTCAGTCAGTTATGGCAGTCTACCATGTAAGAGTGCTTGCTTGCTTGCTTTTGCAGCAGCTGTGTACATGGACCTTGTCCAGGAGATCCCTTTGTTGATCTTTTTTCAATACATAGATCATCCATAGATTTCACTTGCTTGGCATCTGCATTCCCCACTTTTCTTCGTTTGAGATGTTTCATGCTCTGCCCAATTATTCATCAGGTTTGAGATTCTTAAATTTGTCCCCATGCATGTCTCTCGTACTAATTTGTCATTCCTTCTTTTCCAGTTTTTTTTAAATATTAATAATATCATTCTTAGAATTTCCGTACTGTATTTTCTGTTTCCAATTTTCAAATTTAAAATATGATTATTAAAGTTCTAGTCGCCATCTCTTCTGTCAATTTTTTTCCCGAGAATCTCTTTTGTCAAATTTGAGATTCTTAAATTCCTATCCCCCCATATGTGGCTAAACAAGTATTGTACTACTTTGCTTGCTTGAATATTAGTTTTTCTAATAATATCACTTACAATTTCCTATTTTCTTGCTTCATTTCTTTTAAGAAAATTGTACTACTTTGCCATTCTTAAAAAAATGGTTTTCTAATACAATTTCTCTATTTTCTTGCTTTTGTTTTTTAAAATTAAAATTATATGTTTATTTAAATTTAGTCGTCATCCCTTTTGTCAAATTTGAGATTCTTAAATTCATAGTTCCCCATATATCTTGGAATACTTTGTATTTTATTTTTAATCAGATTTTAGATTTAAATAATATGATCATAAGTTTTTAACATTTGTTTACATTTTTTTTCCTGTGTGTGCGTGTGTGTGTGTGTGTGGGGGGGGGTGTGATTTTCTCTACTCTTTTTTGACGTGTGATCATATCATTGGCGGACTAAAAAAAAACCTTTTTGTATGCGCCATCTCGTAAGCAAAACCAAAACGGTCTTACATGTGAAATAGTTGTGTGACTCATCGAAAGGTTAAGTATAAATAATGATGAAACAATGACGTAGGTGGGTGCAGTAACGGAGAGCTAACGATGTTCCATCGCTACAGGATGAAGCACACCTTTTTTTTAGTTCGGATGCAACACTTCCTGTGTAAAACTGGTTATTTTTGAGCGAACGCACTTCCTCTAAAACCAAAAAAAGTTTGTTTTAAGGAAAACTGAAAAAGTTAGCAACACACTTCACAAAAATGCTAGTGGAGGGAACGCTCTATTATCAATTTTCTTTTTGTTTTTTCTATTATGTTGGATAAATTGCATGTACTACTAAATATAAATAGTGGACGTACGTTAAATAAATCTATTTTTATGTGTGTAAATATCTTGTATTGCCAAACATTGTATCGAAAGCCGTCAGGCCAAAAGAGCTCATCAGCTCTGGACATTCATAAGTTATGACGGCTTTCGTGTAGACGTTCAGTTTCGAGCACCGACCGAACAATCTTATATCTTGTATTACCAAACATTAGTTGCTCTCATCCTACCATTTTTCAAAAAAAAAAATCAAAAACAGTTGTGGGTGTTTACAATATGTAGGAATTGCAAGTTAAAATATGAAATACACATGTAGAAACAAAAACGCCAAATCCGAATGTGAACAGTGACACACTTCCTCTGAAAAAGGAAAAGGCCGGAAACGCACTATGTAAACAAGTGGGAGCGAAGCAAATGCTCTGTTACTATTTTTCATTTGCATTTCTATCTCTTTTTTTAAAAAAAATTTGGTTTTATTTCATATTTTTGTGTTGTTCGCGCACGTAAAAAAATGGTCATGGGTATAAAAATGTTCATGTTTATTAAAATATTTCTCGTATATTACAATTTGGCCATATTATGTTTAAAAATGTGCATCGTGTTTTCACAAAATTTCATCGTTCAAATAAAAAATCAAGCATAAAATTATTCATAGTGTATTTAAAAATATTCATCATGCAATTAAAAATGTCATTATGTGTTAACACTTTTTATACTTACGTGAACATTTTTTTTAAGAGTCAACATTTTTTAAAGTGTTCATCACTCAGTAGACAAACTTTCGTCGTGTGTTTGGTAATGTTCATTGTCTAATTTCAAAAATAATTACCGTCCATTGAAAAGTGCTCATTATAATGAAAAATTGTTCATCTTGTAATCACAAGTCACAATGTCTATCATGTACTTTTTTAAACACCGTGTGTTCAAAAAATATTGATCGTGCATTTCAAGAAAACATGTTGATTGTGTATTAAAAATGTTCGTCAAATATATTAAACATTGATCGCCGTGTCATAAAAAGTGCTCATGCATGTATCATAAAATGTATGTATTTTCTTCACATGGAACATATTTATTGGGATTACGGTACCGACTTTCAGGATATATTATGTATTCAACATTTGAATCCAAGCTAGGGGCAGTAAAGCAGACCGGAGGAACTCAAGTCCTGGACCAAGTGTACACTATCACACCCTGCCGTTACGGCAATGTCTCACTCCGTCAGCCCATTAGAGTACACGCACGGTTCCCTGTGTATAAATGCCCTGCCATTGCCACGAGACGTTGTGCCATTGATCCACATAGCAGGACCAGGCCGTCCACGCCAAGGAGTTTTTGGATCGTAAACCCAACATTGTGCCATCCACTACAAGAAAAGGCACAACCTTGTTCGGAATCAGAATGATCGATTACTATTGACGATGGTTACAGGATGCTTATATATCTCCTGGAGAGACACGACGATCCAGAGGAGGCATCGGTTCCAGAGAGATGCGTCGGTTGCCGGGACATATGCGTCCGCCGTTGCAACTGCTTGGCCGTTGGGCAAGGGGAGATTTCCCTTTTACAGAATTAATTTCAACACTCCCCCTAATCTACGCTTGACCATGTAGAGTCATCTTCACGATTGTCCGGGAAGCTCTATCATCTCAAAAGATTCTCTTTCAAAAGTTCTTCATAAAATCTTTGATGAGATCTTGAAACATATACTCACAAAGAAAGATAGGATAATACGATGTCATTAAAATAAGGATATCTCAAGGAGAGACTCCCCCTGACACCTGCAAGTCCCTAAGTCTTCGCATACCAATTCCATGAACACATTTCTGGAATGTAGAATTTGGTAGAGACTTGGTAAATAAATCAGCAAGATTGTCGCATGATTTGACTTGCAGAATGCTTATTTCCCCGCTTTTTTGAAGATTATGGGGGAAAAACGTTTAGGAGAAATATGCTTGGTGATATTACTCTTGATGTATCCTGTTTGCATCTGCGCAACACATGCCGCATTATCCTCATAGATAATGGTAGGTGATTCTATCAAACCAATTCCACATGACTGTTGTATGTGGTTTATCATTCTGCGAAGCCATACACATTCACATGTTGCTTCAAATAATGAAATTATTTCAGAATGATTGGTAGATGTTGCCACCATAATTTGCTTCGAAGACTTCCATGATATAGCAGTGCCACCATGTAGGAACACGAAGCCTGTCTGTGATCTGGCATTATGGGGATCAGACAAAGAGCTAGCATCTGCATATCCAATCATATCAGAGTCCTGATTTTTCTGGAATTGGAGAAATAGGCCAAGATCCTTTGTGCCTTGAAGATATCGGAAGATATTCTTCACTCCAGACCAATGACGTTTGGTGGGAGCTGCGCTATGTCTAGCAAGTAGATTCACTGTAAATGCAATATCAGGTCTTGTGCAATTTGCAAGATACATAAGCGCTCCAACGACACTGAGGTATGGAACTTCAGATCCCAACACCTCTTCTCCATCATCCCTTGGCCTGAACGGATCTTTCTCCACGTCTAGAGATTGAACCACCATGGGAGTTTTAGATGGATAGGATTTGTCCATATTGAATTTCTCCAATATTTTCTGGATATAGGCAGATTGGTGTACCATGATTCCTGAGGGAAGGTGCTCAAGTTGAATGCCTAAGAAAAATTTGGTTTTACCCAAATCCTTCATCTCAAATTCCATCTTTAGGTGATTGCGAGCTTCATCAATGTCTGGTGTGCTGCCGATGATGTTGAGATCATCAACATACACATAAATGATGCAAAATCCTGTAGAGGACTTCTTGATGAATACACATGGGCAATCAACACTATTGAAGTAACCTTTCCGAAGAAGGAACTCACTCAGTCGGTTGTACCACATCCGCCCCGACTGTCTTACGCCATATAATGACTTATTCAGCTTTACACAATACATGTAGCATTTTGCATTTTTATTCAGGACAGAGATTCCATCAGGAACCTTCATATATATGTCCGAATCTAGTGACCCATAAAGATATGCGGTCACGCCATCCATCAACCGCATAGATAGATGATTTTGCACTGCCAAGGATATAAGATATCGAAAAGTGGTTGCACTTATTACTGGAGAATATGTTTCAGTGAAATCAATGCCGGGTTTCTTCGTGAAACCTTGTGTTACGAGCCTTGCTTTATATCTCACCACCTCATTGTTCTCATTCCGTTCCCGGAGAAAAACCCATTTGAATCCCACAGGGAAAACACTGGGAGGTGTCAGTATTGCTTCAATGAATACCTTTCTTTTGTTAAGCGAGGCAATTTCTGCTTGGATTGCATCCTTCCATTTAGGCCAGTCGGAGTGCTTTTGGCACTCAACGATAGACCTTGGATCATGATCAGTGAGAAGGGTATCTGCAATCTTTTCAGCAAAATATATGTCGACAGTCATAGTCTTACGGTCAAATGATTCTCCAGAATCAACATAGTTGATGGAAATTTCCTGCACCCCTAGTGACTCTTTGTGATTTCCCAATACGATTGAGTCTGGGTGTTCCGATGTCCCAGTCA